TCCTCGTGTGAGACAGCAGCTGCTGGATCGCGTTCTGGTTCTCCCTCAGGGACTCCTCGGAGCGTCGCACCCGGTTGTCCACTTCCGTGACGAGGGACTGGACGCTTCTGATGGTTCCTTCCGTGGCGGTGCGACCGTCGCGTTCTTGGCTCAGCGCTGCGTCTGTCGATCTCATCACCGTCTGGACGGGGGGCGAGTTACAATTTTTTAGTTTTTTTTTTTTTTTTCCGGGACAGGATATCTCTTGGGAGTCGTTACGGGTGTGGCTCGATTTCGCAGCGGCGTGCCGTGAACATCGCTCGGCGAAAAAAATTACTTTATCGATGGGTTTACAGTATGAGTTTAACCTCGCTTTTGGATCGGATTTCCATCTTAGGACTCTGTAAGGAAAAGAACGAAGGGAAATGCTCGGTGGGTGGCCCTCGAAGAGCCAGGGAGACGCCCATCGAACGCCGAACTCGGTAGCCTGGTGAAATGTGCCTATGAGTTACGGGCTCGGCAGGAATCAGCCGACCGGGGGACATGGGCAGGATCGACGGGAAGAAAAGGTGGGAAACGTGCCTTCATCTCCTGCTGGAGTCGCATGATGTCTTCGAGCAACGCCCGATTCGATTGTTCCGTGGAGCTCAGCCTCGACTCCAACGCGTCCATCCGGCGTGCTGTTCGTCGGGGATCCATTATTATCATCATTGTTATTATTTTGATGAGGAACGAGTGGTGGGAGAGGGAAATCGGTTTCGTCGGTGGACTCACCCTCGCCGAGGCCGAACTTGGGGCCGGGTGGTTGGGGTGCCGACTGGGCCAGCATCTGTTGTCGGGTCATGGGTAATCCCGGTAATCCCTGTGGATTACCGTGGAGATATCCTCCCCTTTTCCCGAACCTGCACGTTCGAAACACGAAGAAAAATCAGATCGAGACGAGCCCGGGCGGGTCGAGTCCGGTCTTCTTACGTGTTTGGGGAGGCCATCGGGAGAATTTACGGGGCGAGAGGTGCGAAAGGTGCGAGAGGTGTGAAAGACACAATGTGAAATGCGATGCGTTTTGCGGGGAGCAAAAGCTCGCCTTCATCGATCGAGAACATCGATAAGGCGGGAGAAAAGAAAACTATGAACTTACATGATGGAACGCAATGGGAGTGGCTAGGGGGATGAGTGAACCGAGGTGAATGAGTGGGCCGAGGGGGATGAGCGGACCGAGGGGGATGAGTGGACCGAGGGGGATGAGGAGGCCGAAGGGGGTTAGGAGGCCGAAGGGGGTGAGGGGGCCGAAGGTCAACTCATACGGTATCGTGTGCTCTCGGCCGCTAACAAATACCCGGCCATCGCCTGGTTACCGTTGCTACGACCGGTCGATACGTCGTTACGTTTCCTCGGCGTTAATGATGCTCGGTCACGGAGCGATTCCGGTTGCATGGTTCAAGCGAGAGGGATTCCTGTGAGAGGGATTTCGTTGCGGAGCGAGGTCCGATACATCACGGGGAAATGTCGTTTCCGATCGAGTCTTCGCGACGAGATCGCTTGGTGCAGGCCGGGGAGGAAACACAAGAGGCGCTGCTCTTTCGAGGGAGAAAGGGGGCAGGACGGGGAAGGACGGGGGCAGGACGGGGAAGGACGGGGGAAGGACGGGGGAAGGACGGGGAAGGACGGGGGAAGGACGGGGAAGGACGTCATTCGTGACGGGAGTCTGTAGAAGACATCGGTCTCAGTTGCGTCTCGCGTTCGTCGTATGCAGTTGCCGTCTCCCGCTCGTATTATAGTACTGTCGCGTGCGATTTCATGAGGCTAAATTTGCGCTTCGTGGAACCGATCGTGCCGAAGACGTATCGTTCGCCCACGAAGCAATCCATCGAACCGAAACTAGACGGTGGTCGAGGAGAGTGCCGGATCGAATGCACTGCAGCCGGAACGGAACCGTGTCTCCGAAATACGAGAGACGATTTTTTGTAAATGTTGTGCCGAGCGTCCTACGCGTCGGGGAGCCGACCGGAACGGGTCGAGAACTTCGAGTGCCGCGGGCTCTTGTTCTCGAGCGACGGGAGACACGGAAACGAGATCGACGATCGCATCTCCGGGAAGCCTGGGCCGACCCTCCGGACGAAAGCCGTTTCCGAGGAACTCCGAGCGTTCGCGTCCCCCCTCTGACCTCGCCGCAACGGCGGAAACGAGATCGCTGATGCGAGCCCGAGCACCGTCACGGCCTGGGAGGTCACACCATCGCGTGAAGATGGATCGTCATAGAAACGAACGAGTCTCGTGACGGAATTGGCATCTCGAGATGGCGTTTCCAGGGAGGTTAAAATTATCACGGGTCCAAATAGCTCGAGGAATAGCGAATGCGCCGTTCTTTCGTTCCTTTTGCGGTCCTACGAGACTTAAATCATCCGAACGTTTAGTTCCTATGTTACAGAGCGACTCTGAAATTTTAATCGTCCTCGTCGTCATTTTGTACGGCTGGAAGAGACGTTATCGGGGAATAATCAGGCCCGGCGAGACAAGACATGGAGGAATTTCGTGGAAGCCTCTTCGCGTGCTATCGCGAGTCCTGATCTGGTCGACCGCATGTGTCGATGACAAGCAAGTATGTCGCACGACATACGAACTGGCCGCCATGTTAATTTAGGGATGTCCGAATGAGATATATCCGTATTCCACCAAATCGATCGGCCACTACAAACCACCGCTTCGATCTCATCTCATCCCATGAATTCAGCACGATAATGTCTCCTACATTAAAAAGAGAAGATCCAGACAACGATACTAAGGCTGAAGAAGTCATGAATCCGACATGACGCCGACATGATGTCCGGCAACACTGCGGGACGGGACCGTTCCATCACTGAAAGGCCCTAAATTAGCGGCATCTAATTTCATTTTTCATGGCGAAATGGTGCAATGGAAGCAACAAAAAGGACGCTTTTTGTCACCTTCAAGTCAGTATCTTTCGTTAGGTTTATCTCTTTCCTCCGAAAACTTCCCAGGAGCTACCCAGGGTAGGGGGGGGGCCAAGGTTGAGGTTGAATTTGAGGTTAAAGAAAGGTAAAACCTTTAAAAGTTTGGGGGGGGGGGGGGGGGGGGGAAGGGATGAAAAAAAAAACCGTAACGAAATTTACATCACCCAAAAGCGAAAATTAGTGATCTCCACAACCCCAGGGAGATGGAGCTTCAAATTTTCTGGAGAGATCCTGTGGTGAGAGAGGAAGAAGTGTGCCAAATTTCGTTTCTGTTGATTCTCTCTGAGAGGAATATGAGACGGTTGAATTTTGTCGCCGGAAGGGATTGAAGAAAGGTGATGGGCGTTACCAAAGCCCTTTCATGAGATCATGGAAGAATATTAGCGCGAGTAGAAAGGGAATGAAGGGAATGCTCGCTTCTGTCGCTGGCTTTTGAGGGCGCTGCGATCCCGGCCTTCCAACTCGCTTTCGTTCGTTTCGAAGACGCGGTGCCCGTCCAGCTTGGGCGTGGAGGGGCTTCTCGGATTCACTGCATGTTTCATCTCGAAAAGCGTCGTCTGGTGAAACCTTTTTTCCCGTCGGAGAAAGCGAAAGGATGAGGTTAAGGATCGATCGGTTCAGGCACGGGGAGAACTGCTCCTTGCAAAAATGCGATCCCTTTAAAATGAGGGAAAAGGGTTATCTGAAAACGATTTACAGAAAACGATTCCAAGAGAAGAAAAGAAACGGCAAAAGCCAGGAGCCATGCCTTATTAATTGTGGAAACACTAGGACTCCCGCGAATCTCGTTCCAACAGGAAACTATCGCCTAATTCCATTCCACGTTACTCCTTTAACCCAAGAGAAAGAAGATTAGCGGACGCTTTCGCGATTTTCCGTATCGTGTAGAAACGGAAAAATCATGGCTTTCACAACACGTGCATTTTCCTCGAAGACAACTTTTGGAAAGATCTACTTCTTCGGGAAATATGCAAAAGAGCTTCTCTAAAGAGAGATCCTTCTCGGTTCCGTCCACCAATTCGGGTATTCTAGAGTTTCGTCTCGTGCCTCGAGACACCGCATCAGAATATGCCTAACGCAGTTTCTTATCGGCATCGTGACCATTGATGCTTCTTAAAGCGTCGTACAGGAAGAATTCTTAGGAAACATGCTCATTCCGAAAACGAGCATTAGAACCGAAATTACGGATGCAACAAAAAAGTTCTACCTTCTCATATTATGTTAACCAACGGAAACGGCAAGGGTCTTGGGAAACACTTGAAACAATCGTTCTTAATGAGGAGGCCGTTCGACACGACGCTGAGACGATTCCGGATTCTCGTGGAACCTGTTGGACATTTCCTACAAAATTTCAAACGACACCCAAGAAAGAGGACGAAACCGATCTGCTCGATTCCGTCGAAGCAGATGTCGTTGCCGATGATGACGCGAACAATGAAGCTTTGCAAAAAGTTGCAGACTTCATTGCTCTTAAGCTAAAGAAAAGCCATCATGGTAGTACGAGTGAGCCTGTTTCTCGCGCGCGGCTGGATAAAATCTGTAAGTAAATCTGTAATCTCACTCGACCCAGTTCCTCTCGGCTAGAAGAAGGAGTTGAAAGCCTGGCACGGGGAAACTTTCAGAAGAGGGGGGTATTTCATTTCAGATTTGGTGCTCCACACGAAAAAGACTCATCCCGAAATCCCCGAAGATGCAGTGCCTCTTTTCGTTCGCACTAGAACTTTTTTCAGAATCCGAGGTCTGAATGGTGAAAAGGAAGCGGGCAAAACTGTGCATCTTGCAGAGCTGAGACGCTTTTGCAAGGGGATTGAGTTCTTTTAAAGCTCCTGTTCTCGAGGCTAATTTTATTCTGAGCGAGTAAAGGGCCACAGATCAGACAGAATTTTTTTTTCGTTAGTTTCTTTGAAATTGTATGCATGATTGTATGCCGTGAGATGAGATGAGACAAATGTGCATTTTTAATCCATGGGTTCCACAGGGAACTACAGTTTCTCTTCTCGAGCGATTCCCATACCAAATATCCATTTATACCGGGGAATACGTCTGGCAGCGAAGAACACGCGCATACGGAAGTGGGGTCTGTACAATGATACCCCACTCGGAGGCTCATCATGCCGTCACCTCGGCCTCGTCCGATTCTCTATTTGATACATTTCACCAAGAACATGAATTAAGGTACGATATTATGCCCGAAAAAAGAGAACAAGAACAGTTGATACGAGGAGAGGCGACAGGGGTTCAGCCGCACGCTCCTTCACGCACTTTCACATGCCGCACAGGTATCCGAGACACCTCCGAGCTGTTAGGCACGTGAGCACTCTGGAGGGCCTTGGGAAGGACGGCCTCCGCCCGTTCGATGGCGCTCGACTCGTTTCCCCCGCACGGGAACGAGCCCACCCGGGCGGCAAGGAAGATCCGGGAGGATGTCGCCGTTCTCACGGCGAGGCGACCGGATTTAAAACCCCCTCCCGCGCCACCGTGGCGACTCCAGTCGTTCTCGCGGCGTCGGTGGCTCGAGGTCTCCGTTCCGAAGTCCGGCATGAATCGCGTTTCCCTCTCCGTCGTCTTCGCTCTCGCCTTTCTCGGGCAGGGCCGAGCCGAGCCGTTCCGCTTCTCTCCCCGAACGGGTACGAGCAAAAGTTTCCGTTTTCGTTCCGTGCCGATTCGGCCGCGTTTTCGTTCTTCTCTCTTTCGAAACGTCTTTGATTTTTGGATCCGCGAGAGTCGTGCAATAAACGACGCATCGCGAAGCGTCGTGTTTTGCCCCGTTTCGTCCTTTTTGTACCGTCTCGTTTTGGGGATTCCAGAGCGAGATCGGCCGACGGACCTCCGGACGCTCACCGGAATCGTCCGGAACGTGGAACGCGACCTGAGCCAGGATCTCCTGGATCTGCTGATGCAATTGCAGGAGTTGATGCTGAACGGGGACCCCGAGAACGGGATCCCCGTACTCGACCCCTTCCTCTGGGAGCATTTCGAGATCGCTTACGCCACGGAAGAGATCGAGCTCGCCTTCTCCATCGAGTGAGTCCATCTTTCGCGAACGCTGGTCGTCGACATCCTTTTCGCGGATTCGGTCGTTCGAAGAAGCGAATTCGGTCTCACTCCGTTTTTGAAAAACGCAGTCGAGCCGAAAGAGATCGACCTCTCGCGGTAAAGAACGTCTCGTTCTCACCGTTCTCCAGTCGTTTTCCGAACGATTCCGTGTATTTTTCTCTCGTTCGCGACCGGTGGAAGTATATTTTCGCGGACTCGTTCGACTCCGATTGCAGCGGGCTGGACCTGCGAGGCCTGTCGAACTTCGAGGTGACGAACGTGGAATTCGACATCCTGTCCCTTCGAGTGGACGTCGCCGCCGATTGGCCGAAACTGGACGTCAAGGCCGACCGTTACTTCCTGGACGGGACCGTGTTCGGTCTCTTGCCTCTCTTCGGCGAGGGTTACATCGACATGTCGATTCTCGAGTTCGCCGTCGTGGGCGGTGCATCTCTGGTCGCTCTCCCAGGTGAGGAAACGAGTCGATGTCGAAATTCGCGGAGTGAGACGTCTCCACGAAGCAGAACTCCGGACGACCGGAAAACTCGACGGGAAGAAACGATGCTGCATCCAGCGAGGAACGTAACGAGAGAGAGAATCGTTCGATCTGGAGGTAACGATGGCGACTCGACGTCTTCTCGTAGACTCGGTATCGGTCGGGGAACTGTCCTTCGCGATGACGTTCGGCGAGCTGGAGGGCGTGATCGACGGCCTCTTGGGCGGGGGTGACCTCGGGGACGTCCTCAACGAGATCCTCAACCTGCTCGGTGCGGATCTCTTCGACGCCGTCCTACAGATGGTAGCAGACGACATCGCCGTTCTCGTCCAGGGTTTTCTCAATCAGATGCTGGAGGTCTGTCTGCTTTCCACGGTCCATCCAAAGATGGATTTCCGTCCCGTTTCGATTCCTTCCCTGTTTTTTTTTTTTCATCGCGAAGGATGAGAATCGATCTCTCTCGAAGGAAAACGATAATTTCATCAGAAATTTATTTTTCGTGTTCGTCCTCGTTCGACTCCAACTTCGACTCGTGACTCGACATTGTCTTTTCACTCGTTCATTCCCTTTAGCTCTTTTCGCGTCCATAACTTTACCTGCTCGACCGAGCAGCGAATGAGTCGTCAATCGACCTCGTTCTTCCCGTCCGATTCCGTGCGGTTTCAAAAATGGACACGTGTTAATTAAGACCTTCGATCGATTTCCCATCTCGTCCGATGCTTTGGTGTCCCTATTACGAGTGCCCGATGCATCGAGATGTCTTGGATGTTTTTTTTTTTTTTACGTCAGGGGATGACCCTGCAAGATATCATAAACATGCTCACCGGAGGAGAGCGCATGGGACAGGGACGCGAAGGTGTCGTTCGACGTCGTCTGGCAACTGCGGCCGTAAAGGATCGACACCGATGATCGAGAAGTTCGCTTGGAAAAGGGCTCGTGTGCAAAAGTTACAATTCGAGAGGAACCGCAGAAGCGTCTCGGCGCCGATGTGCAGCTGGTGAAAACTCAGTTTTCGGTGGAATGGTCACTTTAAACCTATTTTTTTCCCTTTTTGGAGTTTAATCGAATTTGTTCATCTCGCATCGCTGGGATGCAGGCAGAAAGTGTTTATGCACGTGAGCCCTTTTCCTATATTCGCACTGCTGCAACTATTTTCCAACCCGTCTCGCACCGCTTCTTTCCTGTTAAAGATAAAAGTTTTTTTTTTTTGCCGTCGATGAATGCATCCGTGGATTCAAAATAAACTCTTCCTCAAATGATGAAAATAAATTGCAAACATTCGGGACGAGTTACCCATTACTCATCGGGGATCGTTCGTCGTCTGATTCTGCAACAATTTAATCGCCAACGTCTCGCTTCCTTCCTTCCCCTTTCCTCCGACCTGGTTTCTTCCTCGTTCTCACTTTTAGTTCGAAAGGATGATATCATTCCACCTGCATCGTTCGAAGGGAGGCTCCGACAGACGACACGATTCGGCGACGGGTACGCGAGCGGCGTACGGACGGATCCGTCAGGCGTGCCAAACCGGCGGGAAGAACGGTCTCGGTGCGCACGCCAGAAGACACGGAACGCGTGATCGAAGCCGCGACGAGCAGCCCGAGGAGGTCCATCCGACGATGTTCGCAGGCGATGGCCTCGTCCTGTGGCAGCTTCCGGCGCTCATTCTTAGGAATGACCTACGCTTGGGGAGCGTTTAAAACTCGAGTCGTGTGAAAGGTGACGGATGCCGACGAGACCGCACGTGTACTTTTCTTCCTCTGGGGCGACCTCGAAGGAAAGGTGCACGGCACACGACCGACGACATCGGACGAGCCGGAGACCGGCTCGACAGGAGATTGCTGCGATTCCTGTTGCCATGCTGGAGCGTACTGCCCATGCACGGCAGTTTCGTTTCGCACTTGCACGAGTGTGCGGACGAACGTGGCGCTCACTCGTCTCGTGTGATTTTCAAAAAGTAAAAAACACTTACGGACAAACTCCCGTGTACCGTTTTGGAAATAATTAACATTCTTACGGTTTTTCCCAATTGCTAGAGCCCTATTTCATATCTTGATGGAGATTTTTCAAAACTTAACGTTCGATCCGCAAAACTCAGCACTTTTTTCTCGCATCCATGCGTCCGACGGTCAAAATCAAAGTACGCTCTTCGAAATTCTAACGTACGGGGTAAGGAATGCCGATGGATAGTCGAGAAGAGACCGTGAAAAGAATTCTTCCGAAGATTCCCCCATATCGCAACATGCATTCCGGTTACGATATCTCTTTAGGAGGCCGGAATAGAAGCGGAAAGAGTCCCTTCAGCCGGTTTCTCTCATTTTTTTAAACTCGAACTAACGTCATGCGATGAAATGCATTGTCGGGATTACCTTCTTGTCATCGATTTCTCGCTCACGTATCGCACAGAAAGAAAATAAAAAGACGATCACGTGTGACCGAGGAGAAAATTCCAACTCTTCCGAACACGTGTATGTCACTGCTCCCTCCTGTATGGAAACGAAAAGAAATACACTATAAGGAATCGTAAGCCCCAATAGACGTCATTTATAACGATGGGTAATAATTCTTAGGTTTCGCATCGAATAAACTTTTTTTCGTCGGGTGTCGAAGACTTCCGGAGTCGAGACATGGGTTTCTCTTTTTTCCGAGCTTAATATTTCAAGCATATTCACGATCCGCTTCGATTTCACCATCGAGACTCCACGTTGGACGTACGGGATCGAGAAAACTATTTGAGCTTCTCGCAGCGATAGGCCTTTCTAAACCTAACGTACCCGTGCTAAAAGCATACGTACTGTTGTCGATATTCGATTTCCGGTCCCCAAAAGTCGAAACGGAACGTCCGACGATCGATTTCTAACGTACCTGGAGCCAAAACTTACAGTTTTTCCCAACGGCTAACGTCCGTTTCCCAAAACAATTTGAACAAATCCCTGAACTCTGGAATCTTTTCACAAAACTTAACATCCGATTTCATTGCTAACGTACGAAAAGCGAAACTGGAAGTGCGATTTTCATATCTTCACGGACCTTTTTCGAAACTTAACGTACGGAAAAGGATAAAAAGGACGATTCGACGACCGCCAAGGATGGCTGACGACCGATCGCAAACATTTTCTCATCGTTTGGAGATGTCGGAGCTAAATGCTTCGTCTCAAACGTTGAAAGAATTTCTCACGGCGATGCAGAAATGTCATCGACAAGCGATAATGCCGACTGCGATTCGGTAGTATCCTAAATACCTGATCTCGAATATTTACTTACGATTAATCATTTCTGTTACTACCAGCTAAAAAGGGTCGAAAAGGGAATTTCAGCCCCTGTTAGTTTGCAAGGATGAAGACATGAAGGGAAAAGCGTGACTGAATCGATTTGAGACCCTTTGCTGTTGACGAGTAAAAAAATATGCAGTGATTTTGCCCCGAGATACCTGATCGGCCGCGCCGATGAAAGGGCTTTCAGGGGTCAGGTGAAGGCGGGTGGTGGATATCCTACCGGAAACACTCGGCTTGAATGAACTTTCCGAGGGAACCTGACCTTACATTGCAAACGTGAATGTGTCCATACATTCCAGAGAACCCCCTCCATCGATCCATCAGAGAACATTTTCAGATTTCCACGTTGAAGGCGTATCAGGGAGGCATTCACACGCGAACGTACGAGAGGGAGTAGAGGGGTGGGGGACAGTCGGAAACGAGAGGAATCACGAGTGATCGGGGAGAGAAAAGTTGGTGCTTCGGGCATAGATACACTCGAGAGACCCTTTGCTATCGACGTGGCAAAAAATATGCGGTGATTTTTCAGCAGAGATACCTGATCGGCCGCTCCGATGAAAGCCTGGCTCCGGTCGAGGCGGGCGGTGGGTATCCTGCCGGGAACGCGTGGCTTGAATGAATTTTCCGAAGAAACCAGAGCATAGACCACAAAGATGAATGCATCCAAGCACTCATATCTATCGATCTATCAGAGGAAATTTCACGAGTTACGTCTGAAATGCGATTTCGGGCGTTTCTCCACACCTTTTTTGAATGGGGGGCGAAATATCATTTTGGTTTGAATGAACCTTCCGAGCGAACCACCCACCGTAAAGGGACGAGCGAAGTCTCACTGTCATCTAGAGACTCTTCCCTATCGATCTATCAGAGAAGATTTTGTGATTTTTGCTTCTGAGGAGCCAGGGCTCGCATTCTGTGGCAAGCGCGTAAACGTTGGCAGAGACGAGGCGGGGCCGATTTTTATCCCTGTCAGAAACGTAATTTATTCCGCGGGAGTCCGGGTAAACATCATGGTGATTTCTGCATGGACTCCTTCCAAAGATTCATATCTATCGATCCATCGATAAATCTGGCGTGATTTTTCACCCTCATGTGTCTGGCGACGCATTCTGGTGAAGGTATTGTCAAGGGCGAGTGGGGGGCGATTTTTCTTTAAAAAATGCACAACTTTGAATAAACTTTCCGAAGGAACCCTTGCAGGTACAAACACGATTCTGGCGTCCCTGCAAGCTAGAGACTCTCCTATCGATCTATCAGAGAACATTTCCCGATTTTTGCCTTGAAGCCGAGAAAAACAGAAAAAACCACGCGGAGTAGCGTTTTTTGCCCCAATTTCGAGCACATTTCGGTACTTTTCTCCAAAATGCTCTGTGCAAGGCCCATGAGGTTTGGTGTACAGATCGACCGATAGGTCTCCTAAAATCGAATGCATGCTTTTGGCTGCGGTGGATCTGTGGCCCGAATGGCGGTCGAAATACTGTTCTCAAAAATTCGACTATTCCCAGTTATATGGCCGTTTGACCTTTGACCTTTTGAGTCAGCTTGAATCTCAACCCCTCATTTAAAAGTAGATTGTCTTAGCTTTCCAAATACGTTATTTTCGGGTTTTTCTGACCAACGGTTTCCGAGTTGTACTCGTTTGAATTCGACTCATCAAATGGCCATCTAGCGACAACTTTGGCATTGACTTTTGGCCAAACTATGGGTCGGAGGTGACTGTGCGACACCTCTTTGCACTTCCCTGGGGACCCCCTACAGCAATTACTTTTCAGATTTCGAATCCCAGACGGTCGATTTTTCCTCCGCTACTACCTTAAGGGCGAGTTACTTCGTAATAACATTCCCGCGCAATCGTTTCAATTTTACTGTTTAAACTGATTGCGATGTAGCCAGTTCTTTTTATTCGGTTCGGTGGCCCACAGTGTAATTTCTGCCAAGCAGAGATGGAACGTTCTCACCTATTCTAATGGGACGAAATGTCCTCGATTGGGATGGGCTTCAATACTTCGATCGAGTCCCCCCTTGGACTCTTGGATCTCCATAAATGCAGGGACGACTCGAAGAGTCTCACCGTCGTGCGTGCAATCGACCGCCTGAACTCTTGGTCTACGTCGTCGCCCTTCCCGCCCTTTCGCTGCAAGTCTGAACCCATCGAACTGCTCCGTTCGCTTGTCATGATGACTATCAAGGATAGTAAGACAGGCGCAATTTCAAATCAGTATCGAGTCCTTACAAGAGCCTGAACGAGTCTCGTCTCAGATTAGTTTTAGGCGAAGAGACGGGATGCGCAGGTTGCAGTGAGAAGAAACCCAAACAAAAGAAACTTCCACTTGAAATGTAAACATAAATGATGTAGTTCCTAAGTTCAGAACGCAACATATCCTCTTTATTTTTCACTGAAAAGGACGCCTCGTTCACTCCCTCATTTTAAGCGGCAATTTGATCATGAAAATTATATCAAAGTCGTAGTCCACAGCATACGGCTTTAATATTGTTTCATTGCGGTGACTTAACATTAATGACAGCCAATTCGCTGATTATATGCCCAGAAAACAGCAGATGATGACGGCGATCCCCCAAATCACTCCAAAATCAGATGATGATGACTTTGAACCCACTGCCACCTCTTCGTAGGTCCCATTATCATGCTTATATCCGGGTGACTCATTCCTCGGAGAAAACTGTGGATCCCCCAATGAGTTGCCTTGACCTGGTGGGTGATGTTGACCAGGGTGCACGAGTTTTTTGCAATGAGTTCCGACGTCGATTCCGAAATAAGACTTGTGACTTGCGATTGACCACTGAGGGTAAGTAATTAAGCTGAAGCTCAAATCTTCATTATAAGGTCTGTCATGGCATTCCTGGTGGAAAGAGTATGCATTAGGAGCACCATAACGGTAAAAAACCTCGATTCCATGATGGTAAGGACGATTCAGGATGTTAGGTAGCATAGGAGGGAAAT